GTGTGTGTGTGTGTGTGTGTGTGTGTGTTTGTGTTAAGACTAAGCTCACTGTATTTCCCTCAGGATCCGTGAGCATGCACTCTTTGGTTTGTGTGTTGACATTGTCGGATCAATACAGAGCATGAGTGGATTTAAGAGCTTTATTAGTGGTTTTACTGCTAGTCTGCTGTAGGAATTTTGCAAATTCACATTAAGTATAGTACAGTATATGTCATTAGTACACAAGGAACATTCAGTATTTCTCACATCTGTACAATTCAGTCCTGGTGTCAGTCTTTGTCACTGTGAGCTACATTACCAGGGATTAAAAAAAAAAAAGAATCATCCAAACACAGTGTTTTATTTCAACCTCCCACCACCATCTGCAGGATGACTTTGTTACTGTCAAGTGCAATGTTGTGACATGTTCACCTTCAGCTCGGGTTATTCTACAGGAAATTACATTTCGGGTCATTGTTATTAAATTAAAAAATGTTATCTATAAAAGTAAACAAACATCGCTCAAGAAAAAGTTTCTATCTTCTTTCCCGGTTTTTGAGGTGATAAGGATCATTTTCTTAGCTTGACTGGATTGTTTCTCTCCTGCTGTCTACGAAGGCCAATAATTATGGAAATATTCATTTACCAGGGAATAATTCAATTAAGTGTAACATTTTGATTAAATCACAATATTAGATCAGGTACCTCACAGATTAGAAACAATCTTGCTGGGGAGAAATTCTCTACCAGTGTTGATAATTCTTCCCTGAGTCCTAGTCGGCTCACTTGAACTACTGGTGATACTGCCCCCCCACGATTCCTGTGGTACTGCTCCATTGCGTCATGTTTCCGTCAGCTCTCAGAAAACGTGCACAAATATGGATGAAATAAAGGCTCCGTCGGTTTTCTTATCAAACACTGAGCCTATAGAGGTGCTGCTTGGTACATTTAGCTTTTTACCATCTTTACGCCAAGCTAAGATTCAGAGGAGTCGATCGTCTCCTAAAGCTCTCAGACAGAAAAGTGAGTTTTACAAAACAAGAGATTAGAGCATTTCCATTTCTGATTGTACTTAAAGGTATTTTAATATTCATTACCAGTCCTCATTGCACAGGACCTTAATACACCTCATGGTAGATAATTGGCTAATTGCACTAAATGCCTCACACTGGAGCCTCCCTTCCCTTTGCCCGTCTTTTTAAACCAGGACGGCGCTGATATCGTAACAAAGTCCCATTCACATTTTGTACAGTGGCGCCCTCCAGGCTTTAAATGAAATAAAAACTTGAAAATTACACGTTATTTACAAGTTTAAAAAACAAATAAAGAAAGTACACATACAAAAACACTTCAAAAACAAAAATGTACATCAGCGGAGACCTGAAATACTTCCCAGGCACTTGTGATGCAAAACAGACATAATGACACATTTAAGTGCTACAATCTAGAACAATATAAGAGAAACATAATACCATTTACATGTTTAATCTGAGAATTAAAATACAACAACCTTTAGAGAGTAGAGTGAGAATACCTTCATTTAAAGTAACACTATGACATGACGCTTGGTATGTGAGTGGTTAGTGACAAGTTGTACCTATGAGTAACAGATGAAGTCTGAGATATATACTGTATGTAAGTTTAGCGCGGTCGTATATTGAATTAATATTCACTCCTTCACGTGTTCCCCAAAACAGAGAGTGAACAAAAGTAGGAAAAGTAGGTCCGAGGGTTTGGCAGCACAATAATGACATTGTTGAAGTGTGCTTTGACAAATTCAAGCTAAATGAGCGCAACACAACACAAAGTAAAAATCACATATTCCAAGACGAGAGCATAAACAGGCTGAATAATGCAAATGCAGATTCCTGTGTTCAAGTCTTCTGCACGTTTCCCTCACTGTGAATTCACACCACATCCTGTGACTTATGTCTTTTATCCAGAGGCCATTGATGCAAACAATGAGGAAACAAGACGCCCTTCCTTTTCTTTTCTTTCCTCTTTCACCTGTTTGAAGGATTGTCAGTCGCAAGGATCACTGCTTTGGATAATCGCTGTCTTCTCTTGAACAATAATAACATCGTTCAGTTCGCTACAGAAGGCAAAATATTAAGGGTAACATTGATGGAACACAATCGTTCGAGATAACCCTGAGAAATGAAGTGAAAAGGCTAGAAAACCCTGGATTTTGTCTCTTTGTCACCGTATCCCTGTGCGATTGTTTTGTCTTTAAGTTTGTGCACTAGTTGCTATAGTTTCTGCATGCTGTTTACTGTTAGCGTAGCATTTCACCATCTGTAGCGCACATTTAAAATGTTATGGTTTTTAATCATATTTGTAAGACACGGAGTTACCTTATATTTTCTATTAGTAGTGAGATTAAACAGTGTATGGTCCCCTTGATGCAGTATATGGCAGGATGTGGAGTTTTCTGTGTCGTCTAGATTAGATAAGAATGGAAATACACGGTCTGTGTGTTTGTATAGTACATGCATGCGTGGCTACATATTGTGGGTCTATGTGTGTACTTGTATGTATACACAGAATCTATTTGGTGTGTGCACTTGCCCTCTTATTTACAAACAGTTTACATAGCTGATGTTGGGTTAGGCCCATGTGTTGCCTCCCAACAGACCGCCGGGTTGGCAGAGTCCAGCCGGCAGCTCTTATATAACAGTCTGCAGAAATCACTTAAGCCAAAGTTGAGATGAATCCCACATGTGCTGCACCTCCATGTCTTAAATCTAACACAAGAATTTTCAAAGATAGAGTATGTAGCAGAGCTCGGCTTTCGTTGAAAAACAACAGGCTCATTTGAAAAGCGTCCAAGCATCTTTCCTCAGATTGTCATAAGATCCAGATCCTCCGCGGTATGCAGGCCTCATCCGGTCCCAGTTGCAGACACAAGCCACTTGTCAACTTAAATTCAAAAAGCCTTACATGGCATGTCAGTAATGTTGCTTGTCAGGTACCGTCTGGAGATGTTTACTCCTCTTTGGTGGCGTAGATTTGAAAGGTAGCATTTAGAGGTACAACACTGGCGTATGAAAGCTATAATTAAAGGCCGAGCGGATAATTCTTGTTTGAGAGTGAAGATTATGGATGAACCAGATTATCCACATTAACGTACATTCTAAACTGAGTTCTGCTCCGTGGCTAAAGTCGAATGAAACTGACGAGAGTTGTCAAATAGAGAAGAAAGGCAGGTGTCTGTTCCTGGCTCACAATGGAATGATTACTAATGATTCGCCTTCACACTGGTTTTGCATTGTGTGGATTTTAAAAACGTGACAAGGACTGAATACAGGCACATCCTGATAGTTAAGAGAAGAGTTTTGTGTCTTTTTCATTCATTTGACTCAGTATACTGATATTTATTTGTCTGATTTGTGACATCCTAACACTGCACTACACATGACACGTGCAATCACAGCATCTTAATGGGGGAGGAGCTGAAAGTGGTTGTAGCTTGAAATATCTGGATTGAGGAAGGAGGAATATTACAGTTACGGTCCAGGTGGTTTGCTCGCTGTAAATCACACCACTGAAGTGGCGGTCGGTTTCGGAGCGCTCGGGCTGAGCAGCAGACTCTGGGCGATGTCGTCACGGTTGATCTTCCGCAGTGCAGTGCACAGCGAGTCGATGCTGGCGCAGTCCTTGCTCGCCCAGTCAGACAGGAGCGCGCGGACGGGATGCTCTTCCTGCCGGAAGGTCGCAATCCGCTCCTCCTCGTATCCCAGGAGGCCCGCCAGGTTGCACCAGTCGCTGTCTTCCATGTGGTCGCAGTTGTCCCCTTCAGTGCCCCTGAACAGCAGCTTCTCCACTTTCTCTCTGGTGTGAAGAGGAAGGAGCAAACAAGGCTCCTCGTCCATGGTGACGACTGCAGAGGGAAAAGAACAAGTTGGTTCATTACTTGAACTCTAGGATTTCTCTACAGTACACTGATGATTGAGATCATGCTGAATAACCACTTACATTTTTGTTTGAACAAAATGAATAACTTGAAATAACTGAATGAACTGAGAAATGATTGTTCGGAGGAGGAAATTGCCTGAAGGATTCACCGCAATTGCGTGTTGATGACCTTTCTAATGGAAGAATACAAACATCTCAGGATGAAAAAGAGGCGTCATGTACAAGTAGAAGACTCTTTAGAAGTTGTCAACTTGGAGAGAGAACTAGATTCGAGAGCTTCTGGTGAAAAACAGACGCCAGTGTCGATGTCCTGTAAACAGGAACACGTGGATTCTGCAGGGGAATGTATACATCATGTCCTTCCTCCTGCTCTACCCATGAACCAACACTGTCAAACGCTCCGAAGATTTTCCTGTTGTTGTGAATGCATCTGATCCGGAGATTCTCCTGTTGCGTTCTTCATATGTGAGTTTATGAGAGTACATGTCTGGAAACAGCTCGTGACTGCCAAAGATACCACCTTCAGAATTCAACTTACATCCTGTTTGTGAGCTTCTCAAATGGCTGTAAAAACTATTAGAAGGAAGTGATGGAGTTTCCTGCAGCAGCAAATGTGGTTTGTTTGGACAAATAGAAGAAGCACTGGATAGTCTCTGTGCTTCACAAGCTCCATTCACACATCATTCTACAAAATATGAGTAAAAGGTGTTTTAGTTTTGGCTCCACTTTCTAAATGTCTGGTCAACAGCAAAAATTATTCAGCACTAAAAATATCTCACATCCCACAGACGACAACTTTACTAGAAAGGACAGAAACCATCCAAATGTTTTTCCTTCTGCTTCTTTCACCGCTTTGTTTTCTTTCTCTACCATTATCTTTGTGTTTTACAACCGAATTCTCTTGAACTCGTTCGTCGGGGCAGGACTGGAAATTCCTGGAAACAAGCTGTCAAATAAAGACAAACATTATAGCTCTGTCAGTGCTGTAATCCTTGTTTGCTGATTTGCTACAGTGAGTCTGAAAGCTCGTATGTAAGGTGGAGCTAGTGCAGCCACCAGATGGCTCATTCCTGAGGGGAAATTCTTTCTTTCACACGGTGGGACAGTTTAAGGTGCAGCCAAGAGTTTGTTCACATTCACTGACACCCAAACATCAGGTTTACTATCAGTCAGACTTGTGGATTGGAAGAAAACTCATTACCAGAGAAATCCAACCCCAGATAAACACTGACTTCTGAAATGTGCTCACACCCAATTTCAGTACCACAACTTGATAAATGATAGTTCTTGTATTTCTTGGCGTGAAGGGAGTGGTCACAGTGCAGGTTCAGGTATCAGCGTGTTACCTGTCTGTGCCTGAGTCTGGCCCTGCTGCTCCTGCAGACTTTGGGTGTCCACAGAAATGCCGCTGTCGCTGTGCAGCTTCTCGCCCTCGGGTGATGGCGTCTGGTTCTGGTTGGCTGTGCAGTTGTTGGCTCCCTGCTTGTTCTGTTTGCAGCTGTTCCACCTGAATGAAAATGAGTCAGAAGAGGACATCACCTCAATTCAGCTCAACCTCTTCACACTTCATATACTGAGGAAATTCAAAGATATGGAGTGATGCAGTTGAAGTTAAATGGTTAAAGCGCTGCTCTCAGCGTCAGTGTTTGTCCTCCTGTGTTCTGATCTGTCTTGAGGCTTTGGAGTTTTAATGTACAGACGTGCAACACAACACGGTCGAAGAAACATATTGTGCATTCAATATTCAAGCAGTTGACCGTGGGTCGTCTGTGCAGAAAACATGACCATGGGCTCTAACTGTGAGACAAGAGGGACCATATTGTGACCCACAGAACAACAGTGCACTCTCATCCAGGAAAGCAGCAGATGATTTCATTAAATATGAAACTGCGGAAATTCAATATCAGATTGGGTTTTGTTGTCCCTATGAAGTTGTAATGAGTGCAACATCCCCCTTCTCTTCCCTTCAACTGCTGAATTTCAAATGTTAGTTTCTGATGGACAGTAAGCAGTGCAGATCAGCGGAGAGGGGAAAGAGAAAGGCCCAAGAAAGATGATTGTTTGGAAAAATACAACTGTTTTGTTCCACTCAATGTAATCTGCCAAAGAAGAATGAAGGTTGCTGAAGAAAGCCTCTACGAAATGGATTTGCAGAAGCCACCAGAAGAGATTAATTCATTTTCAAGTTTTCCAAAACTAACACAGAAAAGAATACTTTGCTGTTTCAGGCCACTTCTATCTCATATACTTTTCAGTCCTCACCTCTTAAATATGATGAAGGCCACAAGTCCGACCACAACAGCTGCCAGGATGGAGCAGTAGATGGGGATAAGTTTGTCGTTCAGACCCTGGTAGAGAAGCTTCTGGGTATCGCCATTCGTGGTTGTGGTGGTCCTGTCCGTCGAGCCCTCTGGTGGAGGGTCATCCAGCCCGTAGTTGTCATAGGTGGGCATGGAGGAACCCAAAAAGGGGGTGGGGGACACTTCACTGTATTGAACTGTGAAGGACAAATAGTCATGTGGGGGAAAATATATTATTCATATTTTCAAGGGTGAAAACAAAGCAGCACTGCAATAACAGGCATTGACTTTATTAAGAGACATGTATCCTACGTTTGCAGTTGAAACAGTAGAAACAAGACGTTAATGCAATACAATGGCAAAATTGTTAGCAAATAGTTGCTATGTTTGCATTAAGCAGATAAGGAGCCACATTAGCATTTATTTATAACCATGTTTCAACAATCTATTGAATGTAACTTCAAGTATTCATTAGCTTACATGTTTTTTTTATTTCTAAAACAGATTGGATATAAAAAATATGGCTGTAAATATGATACTAAAGCTGCTTTCAGGCACTGAAGTCCAGACAGTTATCTGACATTTTCTGGAAATGTTTGGAGAATGTCTGTGACGTCTGGACCCAATTTCCCGGAGTTCATTTGTAAGATCGACTTAGGACAGATATGGTAGGTCTTCAACTCCTATCCCTGCTTCTATCTACCATAGCCACTAAAACCATAAATACCTCTAATGCCCCAAACACACAGAGCAAGCATACCCACACATACATTACATCCCACATCACTTGGTCATTTCCCCTCGTCCCCAGGGAGCCATTAACGAGGATAAAAGCAAGTTTGTCCATCCAGTCCTGCCCACTTTCCTGCAGCAATTATAGCTAAGCGACCTGTTTGCTGCTCACCGCGGATGTGGAAACGTATCCTCGCCTGTCACTTACTTACAGTTACTCACATCATCAACAGGAAATCATCCCGTTGGCTTCTAAGGCCTCTAAAAAACCTCGGGAGGGCCGTTGAGTGCAAGGTGGCCATTTTTCACTAATGAGGCCAAAAACATTTTTTACAGAGAGTTTATTTAGATGGATGCTCGTAGCTGCCGTGGGCCGTTTCTTAAAGTTTGATGTGATAAGTATTTCATGGCAGCACCAATTTACAGAGCATCCTCTTAAATTAAAGTGGTAGACGTCCATCATTCTTGATCATCAACATGTAAATGTACCGATTTCTTTTGCTGAAATACTTGTATTACAGGAAACTCATTGGCTCAAAGGATTGTTCTTTTCTCTGCCAATTTTATTTCACATATAAGTGTTTGCTCTTCACAACTGTCACAACTGGTTGTTTGTGTTGCTGCTTGTTTGTTAGCATTGGTCCTTCGCCAGCTTTACTTTTTCACTGCCAGGTTATTAAAGCTTCCTGCTTCTGAGTTCACTTTGCCAAGAGGTTCACTGGTTCACGGCACTCAGTGGAGTACATACCTCCACCAACAGTCCCCTTGTGAAACCACATTCAAATTTTCTAGATCCTGATTCTTACAGAGGTAATCAGGTCACTTTGTTGTACTATTCCTCTTCTCATGTTGAGTTTAAAGACACTCAACATGAGAATTTGTACTGTCAGGTCCTTATATTTGCATTATAGTACTAGATGGAAACATTAATTTGAATTGTTTAAAATGGAAACCAAGCAAAACCCTTGCTATGGGGAATCTGATAAATCTCTTCATGTCGGTGTCAAGCTTGGACAAAATATTCTAAATGTAAAAAAGTATAGCATTACCAGATCTCTGCATATCCCCACTTGACTTTAGTGGCTACTATCGTAAAACATTCAGTGTGATGTATCAGGCTAATATCTATGAACACAATACCTAAAAAACACAGGGCTGCTTATGATGGTCTGGAACATATCAAATTCCTTTCCTTCCTCTTTACAGACACACACATACACACCATCATCATGCCCATCACCACTGTGGCTCTCCCTGAATGTCCGAACCCCTCCATCAACACAAACACACTCGAAATCAGACACCATTCATCGACAGGGCTCGTCTTTGTCCGGTACAAATGCGCCCTCCCCATCTTTTTAGCCTTCAATCCACTGTCTATCCATTTTGCTTCTCTTTGTGCTTCTGCTCGTTCACAACCTGTCATTTTATTTTCTGTCAATCACTTCTCTTTCCGAGCCCCTTCATCGAAAGCAAACACTATGATTGTTGTCTACCCTTCCTGGTTACGTCTTTTATTCTCTTTGTTCATTAACCATCCGTCCATTTACTCCCCACGTCTCTGCATCATGACTGTGCTCTCCCTCCCCTCCCCCCCTCCATATTTAACACTTAAATCAGGGCCCTAAGTGCCTTTACTGAACCACTCGCTGGATGGTCTGAGGGGAGTGACCTCCTCCTGCTGAGCTCAGCTTGTTTCCAGTGCACACAGATGGTTACTGGGCCAATGCTCACAGAGAGAGGGAGCTATCATGTCAGGACATTTTAGTGATTAGCTCGGCAACGATTCCTTGAAATCAGGTGGCATCGAGCGCTAGAGGATAATCCACCACCAGATAATCTTAGCCGAAAGTTGCAGACCAGATTTCTCATCCGATTCTCGAGGTTTAAATTGGCCCCAAATTCTTTTGGTCTGAGCCCATCTTTTGTGAAAAGATGGGCTGGTGTTCTGGTCAACAGATTTTCCATAAATCATAAGAACTGTTACAATTACAGGTTCAGTCAACTGTGACTCTTCTCAACAAACCATTTATTGTTACAGCATTATTCTGTTGTTTCAGAACTTACTGGAATTTTCCCTCTGGGTTTGTCTGGTAATAATTAACTTGTGAATGGAAATCTGGGAACACATGTACGCAGCGTTACAGGAGTAATTATATGGAAAGCACTTGTTCCTCTGTGACGTTTTTGTGAGTGTGTGTGTAATTTGTGTTAAAGTGTATATGTGTGGGATTCACTGCAGCAGCCACACCTGAGCTGAACTCCTCATTCCAACCACTTTCTCGCAAACAGCTGTTGCTGCCGTTTCATCTCTATACACTCTGGACTGAAACCAAAAGGAAAGGAGGGGCTTACGACACAAGCAGGTTCTTTGTAATATGTCATTACACCTGAGCAAGGCTGAGACAGCTGCTAAGACCTGCCCTACAAAACCTGAAATGCCGTCACCAGTGATGGATGTTATAACAGTATTTACGTTGATACAACGAGCGCAAACAACCGGTTCTTGCTCTGTTCCCACCATCACTCAAAACGTCAAATTTTCCTGCCCACGTGCTGCAAACACACCCCTGTGTATGTTGACGAATTTGTATGGGATGCATGTGTGTGCACGTCTGCATCGCTCTATATGTGTGTGTCGGTTCTGCGGCAGAATGTGATCAGCACTCACAGAGGTCAACCAGAGAAACCCGAGAGTGCAAACTCCATCGCTTCTATCGACCAGACCACGTTCTCAGCATCTGCCTCCCTCCGCTCTTTCATGCTTTCTCCATCTCTATCTTTTCTGCTGCTCCTCCTGCGCACCACTCTCATCGTCATTTATTTTCTCTTGTACAACTCAGCTTTGGATTTGCTTGTCATTGTGGTCGTTTAAGGTTTGGGCATTGCTTTCTTATAGGGGTTTAATTAATGGCTGTATAATGGATCAGTAAAACAAGTTATAGAAAAGTACAAAACCAGCTTTCACTGTGACCGAAATCGTGCAATGCAAAATTCCATGAAATTCCCTTTTCATGCCACAGCGTCGTAATGTAGCTTTAGGCAGTAAGACGGATACAAAAAAAAATATATTGCTGAGACAAAGGCGTGGCTTGACAGAGACACAGTTCCCCATCACATACTTTCAAAGACATAACTCTGACTCCCTGGGCCGATATCCTGGCAATGAATGGACGGCACGAGCGAGAGCACGAGTGTTGTAGTCACCCTTGGACCAGAACGTCTCACTCACGCCAAATCACCTCCAACAATGTCCCCTTGAACCTCAAGGGGCAAATTCCTGTGGGTTGGGCAGGGGACAACTTCAGGATGCCGAGTCACATCCACAAGAGGTCATTTCTTGTTCGGCAGAGACACAGTCGACTTTACCGCTTCCGTCATTGTGACAATGCTCACACTGTGTGGAGTGTGGAGGAAAAGAGTTATAGAGGGAAGGTCAACTGTGGCTCTACTGCGGCCCAAGTCAGTTGAGACGTAAGTCAGTAGATGTGTGTAGATGAAGCTATAGCCACACAATGAGGGACTGTGCCATACAAAGACAGTGAATTGTCAGTTTGGGAGATTCTTCACAGCTATTGATGTGGTAATGCTTTGGACACAGGAAATCAGGAATGTCAATGGCATTTTGCAATTTGTCTCCCCCTCTTTATCTGTCTGTCAAATGCTTGCTAGAACTGATCATTTGTTAAGGCCGCCCACATATAGTGACAGTCTAATCATAGCAGAGCAACCATAATGAGGCACTGGCAAACGTGTTCAGGCCATGCTCACTGGGCTCTTATCAAAGATACACTCAGTATTCAAAGGGCTTGCGGAGCGGTGAGTTACATGTTACTTTACAAAACCCAGTTCATGTCGTACTATTCTATCATGTCGGCGAAAATTGTGCTCCTGTGCTAAGGTCGTCATTTTGTTCGAGAACAACTCTTGGACAGAAGAGCTTTCTGTCCATACTCTGCGATGGCAAGATGGTGGGACAAACAGAAAATAAGTAAAGAAAGGCCCACACCTTTCATTCATTAACATCTTACATTTCCACCCTTTTGTCCTTCTATCCCTCCACATTTGACCTTCCTCCTTCCTTCTATCTGGATTTACTTGAACTGCTCTGGCCCTGAGTGCCATACATACATGGGGCTAGTTAGCAGATTGCGCTTTCTGATTTCTGGAGGGCAGCCTGTCAATCGTTAAGGTCAACCAGACTCAGGAAGGAAACAGCTCCCTCCTCCTCCTCACCTATCAATTCAATAACCAAATGCACTTGGCCCAATCAGCCAACCCCCTCCGCCTCCTCCCCTATAGTTTCCTCTCTAACCCACCCATTTGACCTTCAGGCTTCCATATGCTGTTTCAGACCTGTAATGCTCAATAAGTCATCTTGTTCATCTAAATCTGTGTGTAGGAGTGGGAATATCCAGCCTGTCTGCATACACAGCTTTGTGTGTGTGTGCTCTTTGAGTCTCATTTTCAACTAATCCTCTAAACGACGAGGGCTGATTATGTGTGTGGCCTGAGGTAGAAGGAGACGATCTCTCATTACATGCACATGTAGTTCAACTAACTCTAATGCAGAAAGTTAATGACTTTTGTGGCACTTTTGTTTTGGGCAACTGAAAATTGCAAGTCGGTCAACATTGGCCAGAACCAGAAACCCAGGCTTTGGGTGGTAGGTCAGCCCACATAAGTGCAGTCAAATCTGGGTAAAATCTCAAGGAGGATCAGGATCACAGAGTCAAAGTTTTCTACTCGCCTTGAGGGCTCATACCTGAAACCTTAAGCTAAAGAGGACAACTCCTCCAATGGTCACAGTGTGATAGCATGGCTGTACACTATTGATGATCCATTCTCAAATAATTTCTCTGGGTATTGAGCATATTATTGAAAGCAAACTCAAGACCTACCTAGTCAGGCTTTTAATTGAAATTTTATTTATTTCAATTATTTACTTACTTTTTCAGAATTGTTTTCATAACTCATCACATTTTATGATTTGTTTTTTCCTCATTTTAAATGTATGAGATTACTATGATCAACTTCAGTGTTGTTCTGAGGATTATGGGGATTATACCATCTTGTTCAATACACCTTCCCTGGGGGGGAAATACTGCCTGAACCTTCAATGAAAAAAAGGATCCCTTCCACATCTAAGCCCCCAATGACCTTCAACCTCTAACCTTCCTCTGCGGCCTTCAGAAGAGTGGAAGTCATATCACACTTAGCATCTTGCCTTCAGAGCCTCAACTCAGTGGGTCTAGCCAAACAAAGTCTGGTCAGTATTACAATTTTTTAACCATAAGAGTGAGTTTTTGCTGGTGAGGCCCAAAACAAACCACCAGTCCCTTTGTAAGTATGGGAGGAAATTGGATTTTACTTCAGATATCAGCTGAGCCACACAGAGGGGTACGAAATCTCACAAGGGAAAATTCCTTGCGAGCCTCAACTCAAATAAACCTTCACAATAACAACAGGAAATCCATTTTTTTCCCTTAAAATAAAGTAAAGTCTAGGTGATGTTCGGCTCCTTCGCTCCATCTTCAGTGTAACTGTGTCTCTGATGTCTCGTGTTAAGAATCGTCTTTTCACGAGCAGTCGTCTCCTGTGTGTTCCTCCCTCTCCGTCCACCCTCCTGAGCATGTTTAGCCTTCAGGCCAGTGTCGCCCGACTCCACAACACTAATGGATATGGACGTCTGGCAGCACTACAGATTTGTAAGCGCTGATAACACTTGTGCTTCGGTAAAGAGATTACATTAGAAATAAAGAGCACATGATTGAGTTATAGTGAGGAACAATATATGATGATGAAGCCCATACACAATGACTGTGAGCCATCATGCCTGAAAACACAGCAAATTCACATTAATTATGAGGTATACTGCTTTAGTTATCCAGAAGATGTTTTCGTATTGGGAGTTCTGGTTCGTTATATCTTGATAATGGATGAATCATCCCTCCATCCACCACACTTCTCTCTCAGACTGCAAGTTGAATCAAGCTGCATTAAAGCATCATCCTCAATGGAAGATGTTTTTGTTTTTTACAGCAGAGGACCACTCTGCAACATCAATACGTGTTGTGTCCATTTCTGGTTATCAAATAACCAGCACTGTTTTTCCTCGTTCTCTCAACGCCATGCAGACACTGAGATTTGTTAATATGGTTAATGTGGTGTGTTGCATAAGCTCACACTATGTAATCCAAGTCTGTTTTCCTCTTTTGTTTGGTTGCTCCTGTTTAGGTAGTTCATATCACATCTGTGTGTTCAAGTGTACAGGTCTGTTTTTATAACTAATTCGATGTTAAAATGTCATGATAAAGCTAAATACAGTCTGTTCAGTTCATTGACAGAGTGGGGACTTCACACACACCAGCTCTGAACAAATCTTAAAGAACGTTTTGTTTTAGTTATATCACATCACAGCTTCAACAAAGACTAAAAAATACTGAATGAATCCCTTGATGGCAGCCAAGTGGGAAATCAGATCAGGGAAATACCTCAACTCCAAGACAATCAACCAACCAACCCCTATTCTGACATACCAGAGATCCATGAGACAAATCTCATTAACGCCTCGAAACCTGAACATCAAACCACAGCTGATCTGGGGAACATTTCTAAAGTTGGGGAACAATTCAGGGTTAAAGCTGATTTAAGCTGCAGAGTGTCTGTTGAGCATAAACAGCCAACTGTCATGGATTTCTACAAGATCCTTAAAATAGCTCAAATCCCCGAGTGTAATTTAAGTTCAGCTCCAAGACAACACACAAATGTCATCACAATATATCATAGACAATTCTACATAGGTTTCCCAATCTGTTTTACTCATTACTTGTTCCTTCAAGTAGACCCATGGGCTGAACAGAAACCCCTCGCAGGCCAAACGGGATCATGGGAGAGGCACAAAAGACTCCCTTCAGCCTGAGACTCGCTCTGTCTTCATCACTGTGATAACACCATCCTTCACACTGATGCCCCAACACGCTGCATGGCTGATCAACAGACTCCTTTTATTGTCATCTCACAAAAGCGTTGATTTAATCTGCGAAGCATCAGGTCATTGGAATGAGCAGTGACTGTAGTCATAAGGAATTTGTGATTCGGAGTGTGATACCCACAGGGTGCAATGATATAAAAGAAATTCAGCGAGATATGACCTCCCTCTAAACCCTCGACACAGAGAGAGAGTGGTCTTTGTATCTTTGGCTGGGATGAGTCGGTGAAGACAGTGCGACAACCTTTGGCGTGGCATTTAGGTCGATGAGCCAACAATGTGTATAGTGTCGCGCTGAGATGGTCCGATTATGTTCCCGACAATGTGGACGGCCACTGTGGCGTTCTGTCCATACAGCGCTGCACAGTGAATATGTCCATGAGTCCATGATGACCCTGGGCAATGTGCCCCTAATTCAGCTTTAATGGCTCTGCATAGAAGTTCATGATAAACTTGTCCACTGTTTTGATAGGGTCATCCCACAGCCATTCGCTAAATAGCTAAAAAATAAATCTCTGAACAATTGGATTAATTGTCTTGTTAAAAGAATTGGTTGATTTATGAGGAATTAATTTCTTTTCTTTTTGTCCAAGAGTAAAACAACCTCATGAATGCCTCCTTCATATCTTGTTCTCAGCGTTAGACATTCTGAACTTGGTAACCTTTATAATGCAGAGATCCTCAATGTTTTTCTCAGCCAAGGACGCCCTATCTATAGTATGTCCCTTCAAATTATTTGACATAACTAAATTTTTTACACTTCTATTAAGTTATGTGAGACATAAACAACATTTGTCAAACTCGTCAGGAAAGTAATTGGATGCAAATGACAACCAATGCATGTGGTTGGTTCAAACTCGAAAGAGAAATACAGTTCTTTGCTTTCTTCCTGAAAAGATCGATACCACGCTCATAAATTTGGAGCAAAGAGCTTGTCTGTCTCTGTCCACAGCGAACGCGTCCAAGTCAGATGACATAAATTTTGTCTTCTGCGGTGTCCATGCTGACGTTTGCACAGTCTAAAACCATGGTGCACAAACCAGCTACATATTTAAATATGTGCACAGAGCAGACACCAAATCCAGAACCATGTAGAAGTCTAGGGCCTTACTTTGGCAATGACATGCAAGTAAATGGACGTACCTTGACAAACTGTATCCGTGAAAGATGTGCAGGCCTCCAACACCTCCTCATCATCACAGGTGGTGCAGGGGATGCAGGGGTCTCGGGAGCTCTCCTGGTCCGAGTACGTGTCCCCAATGCACATCTCACATATGGTGTCGTGGTCCTGCTCGCAGCTGAGCAGCATGCCCTGGCCCTCCGGACACTTGGTGCAGGGCTCACACCGCTGAGAGAGGTCATTCAGGTAGTAGCCATAGTTGCACACACAGGTGGCGTCGTTGGAGTCTGTGCATGGTGTCTGCATGCGGAGCAGACCCGTGCATTGTGTGCACGCCTGACATTTGTCTGTGTGACTGAGGTATTCTGAGAAAGTTTCACCTGAAAGAAGAAGGAATGAAGTGGTTATTACTTCCAACAACGAGATTACATATTCATTAGTGTTTGTTTTTCTAATAGTCAGCAGCATGACACAAAAACCACTGGGCAGATTACCACGAAACTTGGTGGAAGGATGGGACACGGCCAAGAAAGACTCAAGGCATCGATTAAGGGCATGGATCCAGGATTTTATTTTATTTCTTTCAATTTCAGGGTGTTTTGGGGCATTTTAACTGATTATCCAAGGAATCATTCATTGATCTTGATTTAAAAAAGCAGGTATATTTAGGGACTTGACATTTGTGAGTGTGTGGAATGTGGTGCAACTTAGAATATACACAAACAACATGTTTTTTAGCACAATGACTTATAACATTAAAACATAACAGCTTATCTCTTAGCTGTTTTTAAAGGATTCTTTCTATGACGAATTTACATGCATCATGTATGTTTCGTAAATCGCTTATATACATGCAAGATTTCTGAGGACAGAGATATCTGCAGAGGATGCAATCAATATTGCATGTTTTATGGAATTGTATTTCAACTGGATAGAGAACTGGGAAACACACTAAATTATGCAACAGAGCCATTTGTAAGAGCAGCCTGTGTGTGTGTGTGTGTCTGTGTGTGTGTGTGTGTGTGCGAGAGAGAGAGAGGGAAGTGAAATCTTTATTATATAAATAGTTTACAAGCAAATTCTCTCCAGCACACGGTTGATTTATCTCGAGTTGAGGTGATGTTAAGTAGAAACAATCAATCCAAATTATGAATTATTCATAATTAATAATTGCTCAAACTATGAAGTGTTCTCTCACTCCAGCGTCCTACTCGTGAAGCTTTGACACTTTTCTTTTGTCAGGTTATAATAAAATCAACTCAACAAATTGAAAGCTCAGACTGCAGCTGTCTCTTCCAGATCCTCTGTTGTTCTGAGGCAGATCAAAAATAAACATTCAATACTGGTTCATCTGTCGACTACTTTCTGAGCTGGCTGTCAATAAAGAGAGAAATAGATAAAAATGTCCATAACAATTTCCTTAATGTCTTTGAATGTCTTGTTTTCTCCAACCTATTATCTAAATCTAAAGATATTCAATATATCATCATAGACCAGAAAGAAAATGAGCAAATCAGTTCCATTCTAGAAGCTGGAATCATAAATTTTGCTGAAAAATGGCTCAAATCATCAAAATAGTCGTTTTAATTTCAGCTCAACACTAAACTAGATGAAACAAAACTAACTGTGGGTGGTATAGGAGACTACAGGGCTTTGGCATGCAGTCTCCATGTAAGACCTTTTTTTTCCTGCTCAGTGTCTCGCAGCATATCAAGTTTTTGCTCTGCGTCACCAGCCCACCAACCGAGGCGATCGCTCTGACGATGCCGAGATTAAAACAGAGATGGGGAGAGATAGACACAGAGAAGGAGACACAGATGGACGGATGAGAAGAAGTCAGAGACTGTGTCATTTGAGAGGACGAATCCATCTGTCCTCAACCGGTGGCGTCAAACGTTGGAGCTTCGCATTTTTCTTTAATTATGTCTTCACGAGTGGACACTGTCGTCCCTCACTCGCCTGTTAGTGACCAGTCATATACTGTTACCCCCCCCCATTATCTCCTCCCTCCCTTCAAACAGACAACACACACACTCAGACTACCCTCACCCCCACTCCCCATGAATGCTCTCAGAGCCATTATCATAATGCCATGCATCAATAATGCAAGTCAATACATTAATAACACTAGCCTGCAGCATGGGGGGAGGGGGGGGCATGGACCAGACAGTCTTTTCCGAGCTCAACATATCATATCATAACAGGAGCTTCGCCTCTGGTCCAACATCCAACCCCTTGCTTTGTTTTCAACACCCATAAAAGGACTCCTGAGTTTATCTGCTCTGCAGTGAGGTGTGTGTGTGTGTGTGTGTGTGTGTGTGTGTGTGTGTGTGTGTGTGTGTGTGAGAATGAAGAAGAGTGAACATCAGCTGCTGGATGAGAAGTTTTCCTTGTTTCCATCCAGCTGTATTTGCTCTGTTTCATCTCCACTTATCTGTTCATTCATACCAACTCCTCCGTGTTTCAGCTGACGTCTTTTTTAAGTACATCAGGGCCACTGTTATCTTTCTGTACAAAGACGGACTGTTTCTTATAACTGGATGCTTGCACACATTAGAAGTGATCAATTGTTGGCGATGCACTTGAAAACAATACACACAAAGACCTAATGATGTTTGGGAGTTGATGTTGAAGACAATAAGTCTAAAAATAAAATGCAGTGAGGGTGGTGCAGTGATTAGCACCAATCTCAAATGTGGTTTGAATTCCAGCTTTGCATGTGGGTTTTCTCCGAGAACTTTGGCTTCCAGACAGGCAGAAGGTTTACTTGGAAAATATGATAATCTAAATCGATTGTAGATGTGAATGTTGGTCCTGTGATATGCTGGACCTCAAGGGAAAGTCGGCGTGGAAGATAGATGGAGAGCAGCTGACTCTTATGTTTCCAGACTTAAAAATAACCTTAACAGTATTAAATATGTGCGTGACGGCTATAAACATGATATGAACTGCTGTAGATTCTGAGGATGAAGCTGCAAATTAGCATATTCTCACCAGCTGATGATCGGAATAGAATTAAGATGAAAACCACTTCCATTTGAAATCCAAAGTTTGACTGTTTGGAGGCGGGTTTTAGCAATAGGTTAACAGACAGGTAGGAGGTCACAGTATCCGTCAATCAATCAGAAGTGTATTCGTTCCTATGGCATCTCCGATGTGCTGCGAAACTCTGTATGTTAGCTACGCTATAGCATATATAGCTGTGAGAGGCTGTTTCATTTAATTCCAATGTTTGATATTCAGACTGTGCTATTACATAAACTGTTTATCCAGTTTAACACATTGTGAGTTTCAATAACGTTATTTTGCTAATCAAAGTTAAATAATCCAAGTTAATAATATGGAGAGTTAATTTTTTTAAATTTATTTATTTGTATATATCAAAACATATACTGATAGGATTTAAATTATAAACCTTAAAAACCCTAAAAATCAAGAAGAAATGCATTCGTAACAATTCGAGTCCGTCTATGAAACAGAATTACGGACATGCAGCAGAACTGTGTGGAAACGAGGCTTCAAAACATGTTGTTTAAACACATCTGCACCGTCGAGCTCTATCAGCCTGCATTACAGACCTAATCAATATTTGATGTGTTCCTAAAATACTATTGTGATGTATTATCTGATGAAGAGTCGTCTGCTCTGCATTACTGCTTTTTCCATCAGTCACTAAAGAGCCTGTTTGGCCCCCTGACAGTTTCGAGAGTCTGTCACTGTCTGTGTTTGTTCACGTCTGAGCAGAACAAACACCGCCAGAGTGCAAACGTATCACCCTGAAAAAACTCCACAAGTGTCATTTTAAGCCTAAAATATGGCGTTGGATGATAAGTGGTCTGAGGTTCAACGATTTAATACAAGGCAAGAAAATGTATCACTTGACCTGAGACACATTTACAAGAGCGTACATCGTTCCAAAGAAGAGCCATGAACTGTACAAATATTAAATTTAATCATTTTTCTCCACATCCACATTCTCTGTGACTTCTCTCATGACCTGTGGAATCTTTTTCTGAACGTGGGCCTCACGGTTTGCCATCCTTCACTGACCCGGGGAGGTTTACAACTACTTCCTGGCACAGGCGCAGGACAGTCAGGGATTTCTTACAGGCTGCAGGGAAAACTCTGGGAACAGCGACAGAACTGGCTCAGGACCAACCCTGGCTTCTGCAGGCTCAAGTTGACCTGTGAACTCATATGATAGAGTTACAATAAAAACCCACATGTTAACGTTGAGTCTCTGCACTCAAGCAGAAATCTACCTCATGCTGAAGACCTTAATCCTCCTTGTGACCCTTCTATTCGCCACTCATGTTTATTAATCCAAATCTGCTTGTCTGATGCTCTAAATATCTTCCAATACATTATCTTCCTGCAACAACAACTGGAAACGGTCCCGCTTGTGTATCGTCTCAGCATCACTGTCCTCATTAGGTCTTACACGGCTTCTCTCCCTACATGGTAAGAGCCATGTGCAGGGCAGTAACACCAGAGCACAGCTAAGTCTGGCATCTCGTTGACTCCCCAACAACACGCGGCTGAATCTTGACGTTAAGCAGCCTCTCACCTGGCTGTACATCATAATGACAATGTTGGGCTTGTGCTTCCAGGGTTACTCTACAAAAAAGTCACCTTAGCCGCTGACCCATAAACAGATGTTTTTTGTTTACGTCCTGTGTCGTGCACCTGGAGCACTCAGAGGTCGGAAATCACAAATTTCAACGGGAAAATTCTTGAGTGCAGCCTCCTCCCTCCCTTCCCTGTGCCAGGGAAGCTGTAAAGTCTTTGTCTTGTTCATGTCTCTGTCCATACTTTAATTAATGTCCATTTCTGCTGCAGAGAACTATGTAAAAGTAATGAAGTGGCATGTACCACTACTACTGGTCAAAAGCAAAAGCTGTGGCAGAACTTACAAAACTATTAATGTTGTTTTAAACCATCCTCATTATATTTAGATTTATTCACTGACCACCTACTTGAGTTTGGATTGTAATTTAATCTATGCAGAGACATTGCAGTAATTTACACCCCCGAATACATACCATGGTACAAACAGTCTTCAAACACTCAGTTCAAGCACGTGTCATCTTCTTGAACAGTAAATACAATTGAGTATTTGTACAAGACGTTTATAATTTACAAAGACAGAATGTCATGGTGGCAGCAGCGAAACATTTCTGTGCCAAAGGAAACAGTAAATCACCATCACAGGTCACCGGAGCCACAGCAGTGAATACATGTCGTGTGTGTGTGTGTGTGTGCGTTTATGTGTCTGTCATTAATGCTCGTGACCTTCAAGTACACACATGTACTTTTGTGTACTTCTGCACGAATGCCATTACAAATTGCATGTGCCTACACAACATTCACGCAGCTGTTTTGTGTGTTACTCACTGTCGAGGCAAGGCTCGCAGACGGTCTGTGAGACTCCACATGGTCTGGTGACACCCTCTCCGGGCTGACACTGAATGCAGCACTCCCCGCTGGTTGTATACTGGCCCGACAAACAATCCTGTTTATTGGCCAGAGCTCCGACCTGTGGATCAGCAGAGAGATGAGTCAAAGTGGGACGAGCACAGAAACGTTCACATTCGGCAGCATCCATAAGTTCATGGTGCATGACAAGACACACAAGTGACTTTAATTATCAGATAATTAGAGCTAATCAAAGCAATGTTTGGCTTTGTGCAGTGAGAGCAGTTCAAACAATGAGTGTGTCTTCTTCATTTCTAGAGGCCTGAGAGACGTGAAAACACCCAGCGCTTCACCAGAAAAAGCATTAGGAAGAAAGAAAAAATGAAAAACACTCTGTGAAGCCAACATTTTCCCTGTCTCACTGCTCTAACCATTCTCTGCTTCCACTTAGATTTATTTTGGAACCACTAAACCAGTGGTTCCCAGCCGCGGGTCGGGACCCTGTAAGGGGCTGCAAGATAAATCTGAACTGTTGGGAGATGATTAATGGGATAAGACAAAAATGCAGATTTCATCGAGACAAAAATGTAAATTCTTCCAAGTAGTGTATTTATTTTCTTTGTTCTTATGTAATCGCTAATATCACGTCCTTATCAGGCCTCTAAAAGTATTCAAATCATTCTAAGGAGGATAAATAACCCAGACTGAGCTGCTCCACACACACAGACACATGGGACCTGAAGGATCTACCGGCCAAAAAGTTTGAACAACGAAAGTTGCACCATAGTTATTTATTTATTTTTCAAAGTTAAAGTCACATCTCAAATGTCCAATATGTCAATTTGGCCACTAGGGGGTCTCTCAATTAAAACAATAACAAGAGACATGGTTTGACGATGTCATGAAGAAGCGTGGGATCATGGGAGCTGTTGTCCTCACAACCATTGCTGACGAAAATCTACCTGACACAACTCAGACGCAAATCATGTTCACGGATGAGGTAACGTATTCAAGTTTTATTCGCTGCCATGTGTGAATAATACTTAAATACTGTTTGATACCTCATTCGTGCGTCTTTCCTTCGTCATACAGTGAGTTCTTCGCCCTGGGAGTTATAGCAGAGACGGGCAAAGCTACAGGTAAAGTGGATATGACGCAGATAAGGCGACCAAAACGAAACGCTGCATTACTCTGATTAAAAATGGGGATTTCTCTGGGTTTAAACATTGCTGGAAACATTTTGGATAATGTAAGTACACGAGTCAACAAAATAGAACATAGGTCTGATTGTCTTTGGACATTTTAATAAAGAATTGTTTCATAGATCTTTAAGTCACAGCTTCAGTCATACAAGCAAACAAAATCACACATTCAGGTAAAGCTGGATTACGTTGTCTCTGCATTCTTCAAACCTGCAGAGTGCTTTGACTCGGCCAATGACAGGGGAGGATGTTTGTACGTGTCTCTACACAAGCGGCTGTATCTGCATCAGAGTTCCTACACGTTCACACACTCCAGACTGAGACCTGTAAGTTTGCACAACCGTAAAAGTTTCACATTATTATAAATCTCTAATTCTTTAATTTCCTTCACACTTTGATCTCCAAATCAAACCTTGATAAAAACCGCAATTACCCCCTGACACGGAGCCAGAGATGAAGTCTGACTCTCCTCGTTCCAGATAGATGAGTGATTTAATGTTCTCTTGTCGTGTGGATGTAAAAGCAGAATCTATCTTAGACGTACTTTATAAAAACCATAAAGAATAGGAATTTAAAGTTTCCTCAAACACACATATGAGCAGCATGTGAGTCACAGTTAGAGCGTGAGTGTGTGTGTGTCCGCAAATGTGTTTATTGAGGCTTGAGTTAGTGTGAAGGTGTTACACGCTCAACATAATATCATCAGGGTTCAGGTGTGTGTGGAATGCTGCTGACAAGAGAGGAGGTCTACAAAAACATGAAGCGTCCCCACAGGCACCTCTGAGTCAGCTGGAAGATAACGTGGGTGTGTGTGTGTTTGCATGCATGTGAACACATGCGAGTGGAAACACACACACTTCTCCCTTCGCCCTGGATGCTGTCACGGCCCCTTCACCTTAAAGTTCCTGGTATTCAAATATTTATCCCGTCAATGTTCACCATTTTGAATTTCAGAAACAAAGGAAATGTGCATGAGTAACCTCAAGCTGATAAGATGTTTAGAAGATCATTTGTGTTACCCTGCAGTTTGTAGAAGACCAAACATCCTATGTCGTCATAGGTTGTTTTATGAGTTTGCACACATATCTTCCTCTAACCTCACACACACCTTTAGTAAGAAGCATTAATGAAGTGAACTATGTCAGCACACACACTCGTCCCTCTTCTGCTTCTCCTGGAGTGTCTCTTCTATACTGTGCACACCCATCGGCACACATACGTTTGCTCAAACCCATAAACAACCTCACATGTGAACAAACCTGTTCCAAAATATCTGACTGACACTTTTGAAACGTCTCCAACTCCCTCTGCTCATTTTCTCTTTGACCTTAGTCTAGCTCCAGGTGTGGGTGCAACACAGAAAGGTCTCACAGCCAGAAAACTGACATTGAAGTTCATCCCCTTAGCGTACAGATGAATAAGAGGGCAATGGGATTTGAGCAAACAGCTTGTGGAGTGAAGGTAAAGGATGTGCAGCACTTAGCAAGTTGTAGCTCGACTTGTTTCCTGTAATTGGGTTTTATATGGGAGTTTGTGGGTTGCACTCTTCAACTTTCGTCAGCCGATCTCCCTAAAGCTAAAGCAAGAGGGCCGCCGATCACGCACTCAACGCAACGAGCACTCACAGATGCACGAGCAGAAGCATCTGGAGAAATAACTTCGGAGCTCCAACCAATCTTCCTAATGCTCCGGTCAATTTTCAGTTGGAGGCACTTAACCCCTGGACCTCGGCTGTCAGCGCTTGTTAAAACCATTAGGGTTCCTGTGCCTTCCAATGAACTGGGCCCAATTCAAATCCAGACAGTGGTTTTGAACCGCTGTGGAAACACATGGTGGCAATGACATTACAGCTAACGTCTTCCCCAAACTGCACTGAAGCATCATCTCTTATGAGGTGCGAGGGAGAGAAAGACAGACGGAGGGGAAGGGACGTGAGTGTGAGGTGAAGGGAGAGGACGACGGAGTGTGTCTGTGTATTTGTGTGTGTGTGTGTGGGGGGGGTTATTGTATAAATATTGCATGTGCTGAGCCAGCAGAGGATGCATACCCATCAGAGGGAGCAGCTGTCATGTATCAGTGATGCAGCTTGTTCCTAAATCCAAGACCTTGACGAGCCCGCAGCCTTTACTGACCATGTCCTGTCAGATGGACGACACAGGGAAAATGTTTTTCCTTAATGGGCCTACATGTTCTCAAGGGAATCCGAGATAAGTCGGGGGGGAAATTGTGACCTCCCGAGACTCTGCAGAGATTCCATGTACCCACTCGCTCAAGATCTCTGCTGCTGATTTCTGCTCCTTTCTCGGCCACAGCTTGGTTCTCTGGAGTCTCACAAACTTTTGAGTAAAAATCCAGTGAACTCAGCAGATGGTTTATTGGTGAGCTGCTCCACACAGGCCGATGTGACATTGTTATTGTCCTGCTGTCTGTAGAGCCACATGTAACTGAGACGGGTGGAACTACAGATCCAGCAACTGGAGCTATAGAGTAACAGCCTGAATGGCTGCTGTGTACATCCGCTCAGGACAGGTGCAAGGCTCTAACTTTTAAGACCAACAAATCTCTGAGACATCTTGTAGAAAGTATCCCATTAAAAGCCTGAAATGTAAGCTGCCATAAAATAAGATGAGGGCCATAAACACACCTTTACATAGATTTATGGGCATGATTCCTATAAGAAAAAGAATTTTGTGCAGATTGAAGGGGGGGGGGGGTTGTCACAAACTCCCACATCCGTTCCTCCGGCTGTGTGGACGCGTAATTGCGCAGGTGCCGCCGCAGAGCGTGGCAGGATTTATCCAAGTAAAGTTTATGGCGCACATGTAACACTCACTTTGATTAGATAAGAGGCTACTCACCACTCCGAGGAACACTGCTACGAACGCGGAATTCATCCTGTAAGTCATTTGCGGTGGATGGTGGGTGGACGGGTGGATGTGAAGCTGGAGGATGCGGCTCTCACTGATTTCTCAGTGAGACAAACATACTTTTTTTTTTCTTTTGCGCGTGTCTGTGTCTTGAGGTTATTTGTTGGTGATAAAAAGAAAACTATCCAAGTAACTCTTCGCTCTCAGGTTTGTATCACGCTCCGTCCATGAGCTCCGTCTGCAGACAGAATCCAGTCAGTGCGTAAATTCGCTGAGATTTGACCCAATGGATGTTTGGCTCTGTGCGCTTTGCTTGGCTCATATGGCAGAAGCGCAGAGACTGCTTCAGGGAAGGAGCCATCTCTCTCTCCACGCCCACTGCGCGCGCACACACACACACACACACACACACACACACACACACAC